CACGGTGGAAAGGTGAGAAAGCCACATCACGTGAAAAGCTGGAGCGTCCGAGTTCACAGTCGTCACGATATTAATTAGGCGAGTAAGCGCTAGCAAGGGCAGCATCTGGACGCTTTTAGGCCGATGTCAGACTTTGCGAATCGCTACTAGCGATTCGCGCGATTCGCTAGCGTCCGCGGTCGCGTTGCGGTACCAGCCAATTGAGTGATTCACTGGCCGCGACGCGACCGCAGACGCTAGCGAATCGCAAAGTCTGACATCGGCCTAGAAGGACTGAGTTCAGGTAGCCTGTTGACCATTTCAGGAGACCTGGAAGAATCTAATAAGAAATTCTGTAAAGCGTCAAAACGAATTCAAATATTTTCATAAAACGCTGAACTACGGACAAAACTTTCGTCCCAGCCGGGAACTGAACCCACATCACTAGCTTCTCGAGCCTTTGTGCTACCGATTACACCACCGGGGCACCGATCCATCTAATCAAGTGTTGCCCATAACTCAGTATTCCCACGCAAAATGCATCGTTGAAATGGCAATTAATAATACAAAAACCAATCAAATTTAAAAATTTTATGCTCATTAACCCTTTGACGACTGGCGGGCCGCCGGTAGGACCACACTTTCACTTGAAGGCGACTCGTTTTTCGTGGTTATGTGGCATTCTTATGTTTCGATACTGCCCACCAGGGTCAACCGTGACATTCGCACTTTTTCAGAAAATATGGCGACCCCCTCCTCCACCACCAGAGCGGCTGTACTTGATGCCCATCCAACTACGCCCACTCTCACTCTAAACAGCGGGAAGGGGGGTATTGGTGCAATGAGACAGCACAATCTTCTCTTCTCACCACTCCTACACACGCCAAAATTACATCCACCAAATCCCTCAAAAACCAATCTAAATCGCCTCGCCATTCACCCAACCAATTACTAATCCCACTCAACCCCTGAATGCGACCCCCCTTCCCAAAATCAACCACAAATGCGACCCCCTCGTTCGAATAGTGCGAACGCACGGTTGACCCTGCTATCCACATCCATTATAGGATCCGCGAAGCAATTGCTCATTACTAATAATGAAATTGTTGAAGAGTTGATGGCTATCGATGAAAAAATAAAAAGAAGTGAAGTGACGCATGCACAACGGCAGGTCGTAAAAGGGTTAAAGTCTCAACCTACTTGAAAACTATTGTATCCTCCGTGGGTAATGAGAGCCTTAGTTCTAGGATGATTAAGAATATCAGTTTGAGGAAACCATTTGAATAAATGCACATTCGAGGAGAGATTTCCTGAAAATTGAACACGGTAGGCTGTGAAGGAAATTTCAAAGCAGATTCAAAAAGATTAACAAGATGCCGCAATTCAAAAGATGAGGAATGCTCTGCTCTCTTCTGCTCACACTCATTGCAAAAACGAGCAAGGAAGAGCAGGGGGAGGGGGCTGCACACTGCATGGTCGGACTCAACACCGTGTGCAAGACTGCCGTAAAATTGAAGGCCTGTCGCATTCCAGACGTGCAGAGCAACCGTCGACCACTTGCTCCTTTACCAGTATGTGACAAGTAACCCCCTCCTTTTCAATAAGACACATCTTATTCCATACAAGTAACTGACAGTTCCACCTCTGATGTCGTCGCTCTCATATCTCACCAGGAACTGATAGTTGGGGAACCGTTTGAATGTTTCCAGAAAGACCATCTTCCACTCCATAGGCATCCTATAAGCAACAGCAACTGAACCAAATGACAACACTATCACTCCGTCTCCTTTTTCCATAATTTCCTCGATGTTCTAAATAGCATTTATATCATGAAATGTATGCGAAATCGTGTGAAGAGAAAACTCGCCCGAAACCTTAGGAAGCGGCTTCACATCCCGGGATTCCATGCCCAGACCACCGATGTTCACCACTTTGGCAAGCGTCGGACGAGGAATCTCATAGAGGTCGTTGGTGTTTGCCATGACCTAAAAAGGTTATTAACCATTGAAAGGCAGCAAATGAATCCTTCCTCCACAAGTTGTTTTCTCATTTTACGGTATTACTTACAAGTGGGCACTTTGCGGCTAAATCGATAGCAGATCTGGAAAATCAGGACTAATCAGTCGGCGAAACACTTCCGTCTCAGGATCGGCTACCAGTCTGGAAAGACGGCCAGAATGAGCAATAAAATTATAAAATTCAAGCGAGGGGGCACTGCTAATGAACCACATTAAATAAAGGCAGTGATCATGCCTGGAGTGCGGTGCAATTTTTATGACTTCACTGAACCGGATTTGTAGACAGACCCACACCGCGGTGTGGGCATGCTTGGAACCAGGGTCAACCGTTACGTTGGACCGATATTGGAGCGACGTTGGACCGATGTTCACCGCTCTCCGCGCCGGCATTCACTCTCGCCACCCGCGAGCCGTCTGTGTCTCCGTGCGTACGTTCACTCTCGGCATTACTCTCGTCGTCGCGTTGGACTTTGTCCAACGGACGGTTGACCCTGCTTAGCCTTTCCAGCGCCCTGTACAACAATTGACATTTGATGACCGTCATCAAAAAACCCACGCCCTTCAACCATCGTGACCCTGCTTCACAATAGCCCACCTGTGCGACACTGGGCGACATTGAGGGGCTTGAGGGGTGCTAGTCTGTTCATTCTGCGGTCTCAAACACAACCACTATCGGTGCGCCCCCCCCCCCCCGGCCAAGTTGGTTTAATCGTTCACTCGAAACACGTAGTATCCAGGCCACACGCGCCACGTTTCTCGCGACAGCGCTGTAGGAAATGCCGATGACGTCTCCTGACACACGTCCTAGGAATACACGATGGCGATTTGTGAGCTCAAAATCGGTGCCCCTTCGAAATGACACTTGCTGATGAACTCAATTTTGGAAACAACCTGGAAAACAGATACAACGCAACCCGTGTAGAAGCAGCGTCCCAGAAGCCCTACAAGCGGGTCAGTTCAATCACTGAGGAGCGCTCTGCTGCTGCAAAGTGTGTGACCATGAAAACCTTTCGAATATGAAGCGCTTTTTCAAAAGAGTTTAATAAGTGTTATAGAGACACGTGCATTTAGGATAACAATTGGAACAATTCTTGCTGAGCAGCTGTGGGAACACTAAAACATTCATGTCGTATTAACCGAGAAGGTTGTGGCCTCGATCCCCACTGAAGACAAATTGAATCTTTGCACTCTCTTGATTTCCACTTTCCTGGCGCTCATACATGTCTGAACTTTATTCGTAGTAATGAAGAGCTTCCAAAATTGCAACTCTTTCGACCTTCTAAATGCCGTAAGATTGTTAAAAACGGCAGTTTTCCATTTCGCAAGGAAAATTGCTTGCCTTTTTCTGGCGACCACCCAGGCGCTAACGAAAAATGATCTCTTCAGTCTAGTACTCCCTCATACCGAGTACAACAACCTCGTTTCGAAAAGCGCTCCATGACCTGAAGAGTTTCCTGGGAGTGGCTAGCGAGTGGTCGCTGGTGTACATCAAAGCACCCTACCATTACCCCTTCTCCATCTTTGCTTTATTTTTATTTCAGAATTATACATTCTAATGCGGATAATCGGGAAACATAGCAAGTCAAATACCTTCTCCAAAGCAGTTTCATAAGTCCGTGGCCAATGAAGCTCTTCGTTCTTTCGATGAAAGTCATCTCACCAGCCTTTTCCATGAACATTGCTAAAAGTGGTTATCTCAACATGAGGAGTAACCTGTTTTGAAATCTGTTTTGTTCAGTTTGCTAGCATTTACAACTCTCTGAAATACTGTTTTTCTAGCTTTCTTGTGTAAGTGCAATATTGACACACTAGTTGGAATTTGCTTAGATTAGCTCAAATAGGCGCTTGGTACCTGGCAAACCATCAATGAGGTTGAACGTTGGGGTATGAGACTTACGTAGTAATGAAGCCCAGCCTGGTTTCTGGTATACGTAGTGCGATACACCGTTCAGTTTTTTATGTGCTGTGGAGGGAGGATGCTTAAATCTTGGTGCGGAAAAAGGGTAGGTAATTTAAAGGACTGTCGAACCAAAGATTGTATTATAAATACCCAAAAATAGGCAGTGACCGGTGCAGCCGTCGTTTATTTCAATCCATAGATCGATTTGTCATATGGAAATCGAGACTCATTCTCCTCAGAAAATCATTAACATTAGTCTTAGGCAAAATTCAGAGTTGGCGATGGTACATGCGATTAGGCGATTAGGCTAATCAACTAAGAGTGTACGTACCGATTACCCGATTGGGCGAGTAAGCGCTTAGATGAGCAAGCGATAAGAAAAGGAGTATCGACTTGTTCACTCCGCCCACTGAGCGAGCGCTGAGTGGCCTAGTCGTCCAGTCGCCTAATCGATTGTCAACTCTGAACGCCGCCTTACCGAGTTTTGGTGGAAAACAGAGAGGGGTAGAGTGAGAAGGACGAGAAGACTTGGACTTCAGACCGAACTACGTGAATAGTTCACCACACACGGACTCAAATATTTTCTAGGTTCATTCAGTTGTCAAACGGCGCGTTAATGTCCAGCGGAAAGCCTTAGTACTTCCGTTTTCGAGGCTGATCATAATAGTGAAGAAGATAGTAAAAATAACTGAAATGGAAAAGAAGTTAGAAAATTCACTCACGCGGTACATAACTTGGTATGATAGGTATACCTATAATTTGAGCAACGTAATCCATTACCGAACCACTGAAATGGGCATTTATATGGAACGCATCAATGGCAGTTCTTCGAGCATAGGTGGAAAGAGAGCTCAGAAAGCACATTCCTCGATCAGAAGATATTATTATTATCGATCGAAAATGGAATAGTAACCGCTCATGAAGGGGAAAAAAGCAAAAGAAGTCACCGGAATTATAACGAGGTGCTACCTTTTCAATCGTGTTGGACAGTGCTATGAAGAAGAGACAATGGGCAGCAAGGAGAGAGGAAGAAAGAGGACCAGGGTGGTGACGTACCAGGGTCAACCCTGCGTTGCGCAAATTCCCAAATTTTTACGACCCCCTTCCTTTTCGGGGGTATCGGTACGACCCCCCCCCATATTAACTATCATGTCTTTCACATAATTTAATGCTCATCAATGCTCATCAATGATGGCAGTCACCAACATGGAGAAGTGGTGGACCGTGGTCAATCCGCGCGCTCTGTCTCGCTCAGAGGAGGAAATCGAGGCAAATGAAGTTTTATTCATTAAATAGAAGGAATTTCCAAATTTTTGCGTAAACCAATACATCATTTTAATCGTAAAGATTTCTACTTTCAGAAACCCACCAGGATTTTTTCGATCTCTCAACTTTCCTTACCTTATAATCTGAAAAACTAAACCTTGTAGCAATTACATTGCAATCCAAACCCCTCCATTCAGAAGGTTATATTTTCTTTCAGAAGCTGTTTCATGAAATCGGACACCAAAATTTCCAAAATTTTGAAAATATAAATAGTTTTCTTCCTGAGGAGTATTTGAAATGTTGTGGATGTTCAATATTTCAAAAAATCGTCCCGTTGTTCCGTTTTCTGTGCACACGCGAGTTTTTGACATTCAAACATTCATAACTTTCTTCATAATCAACTTTTTGCAAATGTCTAAGGCTAATTAGAAACTAGAAGATTAGAGCTTTCGAACAAGCACCTGAAAATTTTCCAGCGATCATTTTTTCAAAAAATAGTCCCGTTGTTCCGTTCTTGGGTGGTTTGGGGTCCGATTTTTGAGAAGGCGCGAGTTTTCGACATTCAAACGTTAATAACTTTCTTCATACTCAACATTTTGCAGATGTCTAAGGCTAATTAGAAACTAGAGGATTAGAGCTTTCGAATAAGTGCTAAAACTTCTTGAAATAATCACTCGCTCAAAAAATAGTCCCGTTGTTCCGTCAATTCCACCTTGATTTTTTTCAAGCCTTTTCCCTGGACCGCGACTATGCAGTCTTTAAAGGCCCATAACATTTTGAAAAACGCCTGCTCGGGTATACGCCGTGCACCTATCTGTGGGCAGAATTCGCACTCGCATTTTGAAAGTCTTCTGTTTTCCTGAAGAAGGTGTTAGTATCCTGATTGAGTTGTATTGTGCTGTTATATGGCACTCTTGTTTCACTTTCCCATGAACTGCTCTACACTTTGTTCTCCTCGGGATTTCAGGAATGTTTCATCATCGAAGACAGACCATGTTTTTGCACTACACTGTAACAAAGTTTTTGGCTATTGTCTATTGTACTCTTGATCTATGCCGCGGAGCAAAAGCGCCGTCCGGATAGCGTCGATTAAGGATAATAAGCTGATGGTGAGACTTATAGTGCTCTGCATGCTTTAATGCTCCCATGGAGCTCATGTCTGTGTGACTCTCCGACAGCGTGCAGAGCTCCTGGAGAACATTAGAGGCTGAAAGTGCACTCCCGGACACTGCACTTTTCAAGCCGTCTTGCAGCCCGTTTGTGGATACGACCCCCTCCCTTTTCGGTCGGCTGAATACGACCCCCTCGTTGTTCTTTGCGCAACGCAGGGTTGACCCTGGTTTGTGAGAGCGCAGAAACTACGCTACGCCTGGGCACTAGAAAACAGTTAATTATTATCTGAGAATCAAGCTGATTCTGCATGAGTAAATCAAGACAGTTTCTTATGAACATTTTCGAGCCGAGGGATCGGATAATATTGTATGTGGCAGATGAAAAGGTTGATTCCATTGATTTTTTTCTCGATCTCGACGGGATTATTTTTAATGGTGAGTTTTGAAAAGAAAAATCAAAGCAGTTCAGTGAATTCATTGTACGGAGGCAGGGATAGCCGAGTGGTTAAGAGGTTAGACTCATGTCTGCACCTCCGAAAAACCGCGAGTTCGATCCCTGCCGAGGCTCTAAACCATGCCTTGCAAAAATTGCAAAAATGGTTCTAGTACCAGCGTCAGGCCCAGGTTGACAGGCCGGCTGATGAATACCCCAGTCACACAAATACATGTCTAAAGTCGAAAAAGAA